GGCAACCTAAGTGTCCATCAGTAGATGAATGGACAAAGAAGATGTGGTACATATACACAATGGAATATTATTCAGCCATAAGAAGAAAACAAATCCTACCATTTGCAACAACATGGATGGAACTAGAGGGTATCATGCTCAGTGAAATAAGCCAGGTGGAGAAAGACAAGTACCAAATGATTTCATTCATATGTGAAGTATAAGAACAAAGAAAAACTGAAGGAACAAAACAGCAGCAGAATCACAGAACCCAAGAATGGACTAACAGTTACCAAAGGGAAAGGGACTGGGGAGGATGGGTGGGAAGGGAGGAATAAGGGGAAAAAGGGGCATTATGTTTAGCACATATAATGTAGGGGGGTGGGCATGGGAAAGGCAGTATATAAAGCACAGAGAAGACAAGTAGTGATTCTATAGCATCTTACTACACTGATGGACAGTGACTGTAATGGGGTATGTGGTGGGGACTTAATAATGGGGGAATCTAGTAACCAGAATGTTTTTCATGTAAGTGTATAATTAATACCAAAAAATAAAAATAAAAATAAAAACAAATAAAAATAAGCACAAGTCTGTGTGTGAGGGTCTCTGTTTTTTGTGGCTGTGTAAATAAAATCAATTGACAGAGCACACTATGGCATAAAACAGTCCCAAGAGGGATGTGCCCACAGAACACACCTTTCTGAAGTCACCCGTATCCTCTCATCATTGGATGAGTTGAATCGATCATCCTTTTCTCTGAAATATTCCTCTATACACTGCTCTTCGAAATCATGGACTTTCTTGAGCTCATCATCAGTTATGAAGAGTTCTGTGGTTAAAAAAGAGAAAGAGAGAGAGAGAGAGAGATTGATGAGGCGGAGAAGTAAGAACAATGGCATCTGATTTGCGGACCTAAGGACATTCCTCATCTAAATCAAGGTTAAGAAAAGGAGTCTAGATTCTTTACTAAGTTTCAGAGTAAATCCAATCCCGTCAGGTAACTTGTGTCACTGCCTTCCTTCTGTGCATTAGATTGACTATGGTTCTATGAAGTTCACTTGAGTATATCTGGTTTATTGAAGGGCCTGGTTGCACTTATATGCATTGTAAGACCAAGAACGTAGCTTAATCAAGAGAGGGGAAGCTATGCAGACAATGGAGGTTTCTTAAAAGCTCAGTTTCTGGGCTGAGGAGTGTGGCAGACAAACATTGTTCACTGGCCTTACTAAAAGCCTCTGCAACTACTTTGCTCTTAACACCACTGATGCTGGAAAGCCAAATACACACATTTGCAGCCTCCTCTGAAGTTTGTAGCAACCACATGACCCAGTTTGCTGTAGGGTCTCATGAAGCAAAATATATCTGTTGCAGGTGTTTTGGGAAGACCTTTTGCTTTCCTGATAAACTATGGAGATGTGGCTACTTCTTTCACATTTTTTCACCTTCCCTTTTCTTCCTGCCTTGAACATGAATGTGATGACTGAAAGTCCAGCAGCTGTTCTGCTACCATGAGACAAAGTACAATAAAGAATGGATGAATCTAAAAATAGAAGGACTTGGGTTCTTTGCTTTCAGTGAAGCCATTGTTGAGCTCTGGGCTATTTACCTCTTCACTCTTTGTTATGTAAGAAAAATAAAAGCTTATTCATTTGTGTAATTGTTAATCTGTTTTTCTGCTAATAGCAGGTAAACTAATTCATAAGTGATACAGCTGTAGAAAGAGACCAGTGGAAATTTGAAACTGTCTTCTCCCCAAGCTTTCTATTTGCCTAAATTTGTGTTTCAGGTGAAAATAGTGAATTTTGGAATTCCTGGCTTCTCCAACTCTGCAGTTTTAATATCTAGAAAGAAATCAGGCATTACTGTGTCAAAGAAATTGTTTAAAGCTTCAGACTCAGAGAAGCAGTTGATTAAGTGTTTTTGGTTTCAAATTTTAGATGTGCTAGTGATCATCTGGAGCTAATTTCTGGGCCCCAGTCCTACCTGGTTTATTAGATTAGGTGTAGGTGATCTACTGACACACTGAGAAGAAGCCACAGTAGCTTGTTTGTACAGGGCTGAATTCCTAGTGGTTCTTAACTGTGGGTGGTACCCAAGACATTCAGGAATCTAAAGGAACCACTGGTACTCAGTGTGTGGGGGCCGGATGTGCTGAATCTCCTGCAATGTGTGGGACAATACTACACACCAAAGAATCATTCCACCCCAATACCAAAAGAACCTCCTTTTAGAAACACTTGGCTAAAAGGCGGATGGTGAGGGTCTTCTGTTTTATCCTTGGAATAATAGAAAGACAGGGATGGTTTCTTCATGAAGTCATAAAGGCACAACCCCCAAGGCTAGGAAATGGTTAACACCTAAAAAAAAATGATAGGTCCAGAAATGAAAACGCCAAAATCAAACCCAGTCACCTGCAACCCAACTCATGTAATTACGCCTAAAGTATATATAATGCAGCATTGGGAGCATGTTAATATGGCAGATACATTTTGCTGTTGGGACGTCTGGAAAGTAAGACACTTAGAACCTATGAAGGCACTAAAACACCCCTGCTGGAGACTGGGTGTATCTCACTAAGAAAGATGTGAGGCTAAGAATGCTCAATTTCGGCCTCGGCCTCTTCTTTCCAGCCCTGCTCTGCAGGCGAGTGTACCCTCCCGCCCCTCCCCAAGGCTCCAGAGCTGGGCACAGGCAGCGGGTGCAGCCGACTGGGCACGTGGTCCCGCACGACTGCGGCCGCAAGCGGGCGGCGTGTGCGCTTTGCGGTTGCGGGAGGCTGTGGCTGGACGCTTACTCAGGCCGTAGTCCCTTTCGTCGGGGTCGCTCTCGTGTTTCCTCCACCGGCAGCACAGATGCTGGACTATCATGGTCATGTGACTGAAGATGATCAGAGGTGGGGGCAGAACCGGCCTTTCGTGGAAAGTCATGATGAGCTGGTACCTCTGAAATTTCCACACTTGGTTGGATATGGATTTTACCTCGAAAAATGTATTGCTGAGATAGAGACCAAAGAGAATCAGGTGAGAAACTCCTACGGAAGCATCGGTCCCCGGTCTCTCTCCGAATCCCACCAACTCCATCCCAAGTGCTCTAAGAAAGGTCCACTTACTTAAAGACGGCGATGAGGAGGTTCACCAGCAGGATGTTGGCCACCAAAAGGTAGCAGGCCATGATGGCCGGCACGATCCAGGCTCCTGTCTTGCAGGGAGGCAGCTGGATTATTTTGCCATCCTCTCGGGTCTCGTTCTGTCCACAGGGAGCTGAAGGGAGCGGCACAGGTGAGAAATGAGAATCCGTGGCGATGTGATCAAAAAAAGACTGGTTTTCAATGAGGCTTTTTTTTGTTTTAGATGGAGGGAAAATACAGCCATATCAAAACAGACAGAAAAAAGCGAAAATAGAAAAACAAAAGCTTCATGAATACCCCAAGGGGCTGCTACTCCAGAGGGGAGTTGGTTCTATCTCCCAGGTAATCATGTGACATGAAAGATGGGTGGAGGCCCCTGCTCACTCACCCTGTCTCCTGCCCCTGCCCCTCAGTGAAGGGCACCTGGTGTCCTTAGGAGGCCTGGTGAGGGCTTTCCTGGGGAGCGACAGAGAGGCGGAGTCTCACTGCCCATCAAATTACTTTCAGAATGTGCTGTGGAGGCCAGAAGCCTACAGATGTAGGAGCAGCAGCATCCAGGGGCTATTGATTGGGAATTAACACCGGGGCAGCTGCAAAAAGCCACCAGGGGCTCTGAGCTAATGATTTGCTGTCTCCGTGTGGAAGGAACAAAATGAGGCAGCGCCCTGGGAAGTATTGAGAGGGATTGTTGCTTGCTGCTCCTGATGGATGGCATTTCACCCGAAGGGCAATGAGAGGTGATGGACTAGACCCTTGAGTCCATAGCCACCCACTTTCTTCCAGCAGATTTCCATTCCAAAAATGTGCTTTTCAGGGCACAGGGCACAAAACCCAGCTGCACTGAATAAATGGGTAAATGGACAAAAGAAAAGAGGAGGTGGGGATAAGGAGGAAAGTGATATATGGGACTGCATGAGTGTGAGTAATGCGCTAATGAGGCCTGTTTGAAATGTCTCAGTAAATTCAAGGGAAAAACCAATCCTTGACAAAGCTTCTTAGCGCTGCACAGGTGCCATGGCCCAGGGAGTGAGATGATGGCCATCGGAGCAAGGGACAGATGAGGTTCTCCCCCTTCTCCATCTGCCTTCTGTTGGCTTTAGAACAGGGTCTACTTATAAAAAGGGGGTCGGGCAGGAAGAAGTCTCAGCAGTTGCCACAGGCAGCTTTTGAAGGTTTGCAAAGCTGACCTAGAATCTAGGCTGGTGCACCTACCAGGGGCGTTCATTGCCTTCTCAAGGGTTGAAGTTGCTAGGCTGTGCACTCACTCTGCAGTGGTTCTCAGCGCTGGCTGCACATGGGATCACCTCGGCAGCGTTATGAAATGCCCATGCTTGGCTCTGCCCCAGATGAGTGAATCAGCATTTCCAAGGGTGGCCCAGGCATCGCATTTCTTTTAAAACTTCTCAGGTAATTCTAAAGTACCACCAAAGTGAGTCCACTGAGCTAGAATTAGGCTGGAAAAACTATGTGATCTTTGACACACTCTCAAGCCCAAAATGCATCTTCTCAGCCTTTGAGGGTTTTAATAACATCAGGACACCAAGACCCTGTTTTTATGGCCAGAAAAAGATGACCACAGTGCTTCCTCTGGATCTGCTGCAAAATGACTGTGTGTTGTCAGGTGTTTCCAAAGAGCCAGCATCTTTTTTATTATTGGCAGTTGTGGCTTAACTAGTCAAGATAGCCTGTAGGAGGTCCTGATCATTTACTCCCTTGGAAGGAAAACCCAGTGGCTCCAGGACGAAGTCCAAAGTCTGAGGGTGGCTGGCCTGGTGCCATCTTTTGCCACTTCCCACCTCTCCCTCCAAGCACAAATTGGATCAAGTTTCTTGCAGTTCCTAGAAATGTCATGATTTCTCTTATTTTCTGATTTGGAGCCATGCTTCTTTTGTTTCCAAAAGGCCCCTCTGATACCTTGCTCCCACTCCCAGTCTTCACCTGGGTGAGTCTTACTCACTTTTCAAAGTACACTTAGCTTTCTGAAATCCACCCCAGCTCACTTTCTGCCCCTTTCTGGCCAGGACTGGGATAGGGAATGACAAAGATTCTCTGTTAACCAAATTCCCCTCAGGCTCTTCTGAGTTCTTTTTCATCTAGGCCTTGACTTTTGGACTTCCATGTTCATCTTTGCATTGTCCAATTTTAGCAAGAACCCTAAGTCTGTTTAGCCAGAATCCCCACCCTTCATATCTAATCACAGCCAGTATCTGATCAGGTTTCTTATCTCCCACCACCCCTCAGCTGACGTCTGCTCACCCTGGCCAACCCTCAGCAAGAATCTTGTTAGGTCAGTTCAGCCAGAATCCTCCCCTACCCTGATGCTGCCTTTTAGTGATTTTCCATCTACTGACCCACACCTGGCTCCTGCTTACAAAGTTCCAGTTTTCTTTTTGTTCAGAGTTGAGCCAAATCTCTCTCTCCTATTACGAAACCCCACCATAGTTGCCCTCCTTGAATAAAGTCTTCATTACCACCTTTCCCAGAAAATGCTGATCCTAGTTTTTTATCTGGGATCCTCAAAAGTGAAGGGCAGTACAGATCTGGTAATAAACATCCAGGGAAAGTATAGTATGCACCTGCCTTTCTACTGGGCACTTCACACCAGCCACTACATTTAGTCTTCTGAGCAGCTCAGTAAGAAATGTATTATCACTGTGTCACAGTTGAGGAAACATGAGCCAAGGGGTGAAATGCCTTATCCAAGATCTCACAGTTAATAAGAGATAATGCCAGACTCATTAATTCATTTATCTTAATAAGTGATAATGCCAGAACCATTCATTCTGTCATTTAAAAAATACTGAGTTCCTGCTATGTGCCAGTGGGAATTGGCACTCACTGGAGATGCAATTATGAGTGAAGCAGGAATGGGTTCTGTCTTTCTCTGACCCCAAAGTGTGTATGTATTCTGCTTTATCTCAATGGCTTTTCCAATGTAATCATTCATAATAATAGTAGTGAACATCTACTGCATGCTTAGATGTAATTCCCTATGTTATGAGCTTTACTTATATTACCTTTGAAAATATTTATAATATTTTCACATGACAGACATTATTATCCCATTGTACAGATGAAGAACTGAGATTCAGAAAGCTTTAGTATTCCTGTCAGTATCTCAAAGACAATAAGAACGGAGTCAGCAGGTCCACACAAGCCTTCTTAACCACAGGTCTTCTCTGTGCATCTGAAGACAGAGTCAAGATGGGGTTCAGAGGAATCTCTTGATTATGAGCTAATGTAGGGACAGATTTATAGGTATCTGAATATTTCTTGTTTCCATCAACATGAATAACGGCCTGAGATGTTCAGTTGTGGGAACAAATGTTTCGAACTAAAATTCAGACTGTGGAGAAAGAAATTTAGTTCATATGTAGGTATCAAGTGTCGGCACCCATGTACCAAATTTTAGGGCATGCACTTTTGATTTCATCCTATAATACATGGGGAAAATAAATGTTTATTTAATGTACACCATATCTTGTTCCTAAAGAGAGAAATTTAAAACAAAACATGAACCAATGTTTGATATAATTACGAACATCTGTAAAAACTTGACAAAGAAGGATATTTCTTGAAGGTTGTCCCTTCCCTTCCTGTCTGAAGAAGAGTCTCAAAAGCTTATTCCAAATAACTGACAATAGGATAAAGAGCTTAGTTGAGTATATGAATACATTTATCCTACTTTTTAATTATTATTTTTTTACTATCAAATGTACATTGCAGTGGTTCAACAGTTCCCCTCCACTCCTCCACACCCCCACCTCCTCCCCTCCCCCTTGGTAACCACTAGTCACTTCTCAGTGCCTGAGTCTAATGTTATTTTGTTCCTTCTGTTTTGTTTTTATATTCCACAAATAAGTGAAATCATATGATATTTGTCTCTCTCCACCTGACTTTTTTCACTGAGCATAATACCCTCTAGATCCATGCATGTTGTTGCAAATGGCAGGATTTTTCTTTTTATAGCTGAATAATATTCCATTGTGTATATGTACGACGTCTTCTTTATCTATTCTTCTACTGATAGACACTTAGGTTGCTTCTATATCTTGGCTACTGCAAACAGTGCGGTGATAAACATTGGGGTGCATATATCTTTGAATCAAGGATTTTGTTTTCTTCAGGTAAATTCCTAGGAGTGGAATTCTTGGGTCCATCCTATTTTTTTTTTTTTTTTAAGGAAAGGATTTTCAACTAAAACTCCATCTTGCAAAGATAACAAGACAAAGAGGATTCCTCCACCTCCTTTGTAAAGTCCATACAGTTTGCCATAGAAGATTAAGAATGCCATTAGCACAGCTCTTAATGGCTTACTCCAAGGGTGAATTAGTTGAGACAGCTCTGCCCTTCTGGCTTTTTCCTGACACAATGCTTTCCTTGGCAAGACAACTGGTGAAGCCTCCTTTTTCCCTTTGTATGGCTACCTCTTTCTAGAGGTTTCCTCATCTAAAAGTCTTACATAGTGGCAGATTCATCAGGCAGAAGTTTTCTTTGTGGAAGTAAGGGGCACATGCTATTTCTTTCAGTAGGTTGCCACCAATGTCCTCTAGTAATGGAAGACAGGAAGGGCAGAGGTAATTGGAAAGTAGGTAAGTTCTAACTTTGTGGAGTCAACAGCACCATCCACCGGCTCTGCCTTTACTTCTTTTGTGGTTCATTTCTTTTCCCTTCTCCTAACCCAACTTCTGGGGAAGGTACAAATCATTGGTGACATGGCACAGAGGCAATCATGAGAAAGGAGTAAAGAGGGCTCAGTTCCTCCATCTATGAATGAAGAGTCTTGGACTACTGATACCCCTGACAGTGTGGCACACACACACAACTCAGGAAGTCCCAGATGCCTTTAGGAGATAGGAAACAGGGCCTTAAATAACACTGAATTGGACAGTGAGAAAAGGATAACCTTGTGAAGATTCTTCTGAGCTTTCTGATTCCATCAGATAGAAAGCATCAGTTTGAGGGTAATGTTCTGTTCATACTTCCTTTTTCACATTTGCCAAACTCCCTTTTTAGTAAAGACTGGGCAGGCTGAAGGCTTAAGCACCTGGACAGAACTTTATAACAATGTGTTGTTTTCATTCTGTTTATTTTATGATTATCTTCTATTTATATCAAATCATACTGATTTTT